TGCTAGTCTGACAGACTGTTACGCACCGCTTACGAAAACGAGTGTCATTATATGCCAATATGAATGTGTCAGGAGCAGTTCTGTTCTAAATTGTCGATGAGCACTCATAAACATTGGGAGTCAGCCACTGATGTTCTTTCGCAGCTCAGCTTTTCACAGTTCGCTGTTTTTAGATCGGTGTGTGTTCCCACATGCATACCTAAGGTTTTTCTCAGAAATCGCTACATTTTTCACCATGATGTCGTGCGGGTCAAACAAGGTTCAATGAACTATTTCAGAGAGGGACAACAAGTAATGCATTCCCTTTGGACAGCTTGGAATGCTTCGTGCACCTACCTGCCACCATGAACGACAGTTTACAGGAAAAAAGAACAGGCCCGCCGCGGTATATCACGCTTTTGTGTTCTATCGCGGTGTGTGCACTGCTAGCGGACGACATGTACGATAGGATATATCTGAAGCGATATACATGCGGTATTTCTGCGATGATCACACTGATTCGGAAATAAAAGCTGGAGTGAAGTAAATGTCATATGATCGGTAATCTGTATAGCGTCATGCATTGTGTAGAATGCTACTAATTTTAGATTTTGATTGACATTGTTTCGGAAATTTCCAGCCAAATAGAGACTTAAATATCACCGCAATGTATCAAGATCCTTTCTTGATTATTATAATTACCTTTCCCACTGATTCTCGGCCTATCTTTTTCGTGTCAACCAGCTTTTGGTGAGCCAATGCCGACGAATCATTGGATGGAAATTCCACAGCTTTTGTGCATGTCATGCTCCAGTCGCTAGAACTCATATCAGCTTTCTTTGTTATTCTAGTTCTGTTCCATGGTTTCTTTCGCCCTCTCTCTTTGAAAACTGCTTAGATATATGGGCAAATTAACATTGTAAATATGTACTGGCAAGATACCATAACTTATAGCTTCAATAGAAATGCTACGGTAGAGCCATTAGCTGCCGGCTGCTGCGCTTTCGGTGGCGAGGTCTAAATAAATCTTAACATTTGCAATAAAGAGCCAAAATGTATCGCCCAAACAACTTCGAGTTTGTATGCTTAAAATTAAGTCCAAAACTCCAAACTGATAGCATCAGGACCCGTGTGCCCACTGAGCGGCACTTATCCCGCGAGTTGCTGGGGGGGGGGGGCGTTAAACGCTCCCACTTTTTTCGCCGGGCCATAGCATAAAAACGGCGCGCCGCAGGTGCGCCAATTTTTGAGTACCTGTAGGGAATTAATTGAAGTTTATTGTGACAAAGTTTCAAAAAAATCGGTCGGAAAATTTTTGAGATATCGAGGTTTTAGTGACGTCATGATTTCTGAGTTTTCGACCAAAAACGGCATATGTTCAAAAAAGCATATAAAATCACAGGATAGACATACAGACATGCCGTAAACGCCATTCGACTGCCAATACCATGAACAATCAAATGGCTATCTTCGATTATTGATTATCGTTCCGCATTTTCCAAAATCTTGAACTGAATCTTGGCAATTTCTCGTGACTTCTTCACGACCATGATACATACATTTCTTAAATTGAGCTTTTTGAGCCAAACACGTACACATATGATAAAATGAATGTCACCATCGTGTTCTGCGCCCCAAATTACCCATAAAACATGTGTCACAGGCTGCGAATATCAGTTTTGATTTTCGGGGATATGTGCCTACCCGGTTGACCTGACCTTGACCCTGACCTATGCTTGACTGACCCCTACATGGAGCTGACATTCTTGTAGGCTTTATATGATGGATTGTGCTCCGTTTTGACAGAGTTTATGACGAGAGGCGCCCATTGCGAAGTCCTGAAGTCCATGCTACTGAAAGCCCGATTTCAGGTGTTTGACCTGACCTTGACCCGACCTGTGACCTCAAAATTCAACTTTAAAGAGTACTCATCCGAAGCGTCTCGTCGCGTTCTTTCGTTTGCCGCCTCGTGCGTTTCGCTGCGCCTATTGGTTCTCGAGTTATCGGCTGGGGGCGTTTAACGCCCCCCCCCCCCCCCCAGCAAACGGTGGGTGGCGAAATACCCCAGCAACCGCCGGGTTGTGGCGTGACGCTACGCTATGGATCCACCACTCGGCACACAGTCCTACGATGATTTTAATTGATCAATCGGTGCAAGTAAATTTGAAATATAAGCTTAGTTATATGAATACATGTTTGACCTGAAATCATCAAAAAAGTAGAAAAAAAGTGACAGACGAGGGGAAAATCTTACCTTGATCTCCAACCGTCAAACGCGCTTTTTGTGTCATAGTTTCGGGGCCGCGGATTAAATAGCATCCCAATTCCCGACCATTATCTATTTCATCCAAATAAAATACCTGTCACACTGTGACATGACAGCTGAGGCCAGTTCTACCAGCTGGAAGATAGCTGGCTGTGGCTAATACTAATTTCCTATTTTCTGATTCCTAAAGGCACTTCCGAATATCGCCATCCACGCAAAACATATAGCCGCTCATGTGGAAAGCAACACAAACCAGCGTAACTAAATTGATGATTTCGCATATCAGTTTTGATTAGTCGAATCAAATTCTGGGATACTTTGTAGAAGTAAAATTGCAACAGTCACCGTTTTTAGGCTGCTAAAACTTACATGCACTTACATTCTGTACGGACATTTTGTTCAGCCGGGCCCTTCTCTCGCCCTCGATCAGCTCAACAACATGGAAAAGGAGTAAAAGTCCCCCTCAACAACATGGGATAAAGGAGTTGAAATCCCCCAGACATTTGCTATTAGACTGCGACAAATAGTTTCCGGTTTGATGACAATACAATAGCCACTATCGAAGTCCAATCTCACAAAACAGGTGTGGCAGCTGACGAGGATTAATTTGGCAGCATTGTGCTGAATGCCCATGACCAGCGCTTGTGTAGTGTGCGGTTCATCCTCGCCCGTGAAGGAATAACTGTACTGGAGGGAAAATCGTGGCTGCCATATGTGCGATAACAGTTCAGGATATACGTGGCATGATGAATGATATGGCTAGGTGGGAGGAGTAATGTTCTCTCCTGAACCTGAGATAAGAGAGACACGTAGCTTGCATCGAGGTCGAAAACACCAAACTATGATGCGAGATGCTCCAGTGTAATGCTTAGTATTCGGTTGACTATAACCAGTATAACGCCTTTTGGGGCGACTAACGGAGCGAGCGAGAGGGTGGGCCTTGCACGTGCAAAATTGCGAGGGGGTACCTGCAACTGACTTGTGCACGGCACCCTACTAACTGGTCTCTAGCGATGTGCCAAATTTGGGCACAATCGGCCCAGCCGTTCTCGAGATCTGGAAGCGGTACCCTGCACGTGCGCACGTGCAAAATGGGTCCCAACTGACTTGTGCACGGCACCCTACTAACCGGTCCCTATCCATGTACCAAATTTGAGCGCAATCGGTCCAGCCGTTCCCGAGATCTGGAAACGACCCCTGCACGTGCGCACGTGCAGCAGCACCCCATTTCTGGCACATGGATATGCAGTGCCTAGTGGGTGCCTACCTACATGCCAACTTTCAGCGCAATCGGCCAAGTGGTTACCGAGATATTGCAACAATTACAAAAGTGACACCTCTTCGTTTTGCACGTGGCACGTGCATAAGGGGTCACCCACATGAATCGGGAATAGTCCAATACTTGGTAGAAGGAATGAAGCTACCCTACAAAAATTACCGCGTGTAAATCGGTCAAGTGGTTGCTGAGATATAAGCCTCGCAAAAGCGTGACCACGGCCGGCCGGCCGGCCGGCCGGCCGGCCGGCCGCTCATACTCAGAAATTTCCGTTAATCTAAGGAAAGACTACGCTCGCTTAGCTCGCTCCGTAATTACTGGTAGAAGGTACACACAATACGCCTGCTGAATAAACGTGACTTCAGTGTTATCTCGACTTTTCTAAAGTTTCGTGACCGTCCTGACTTGAGGTCACTGGAGCTCGATTTTGTTTTAGTAAATGTCCCAAGAAAATCCCATATAGCATATGCCATATATTTACAGTATGTTCTGCTCGATGTACATACATACCGACTCTTACTGACCCGGCAAGGGTCTCCAAATATCAAAGACAAATAAAGACATTGATAATTGATTGGTCATCCTTGTTCCAGGCAGGCAGTAACATCACTCAGGAAGCCCATGGGACACTTAAAGGGACCCTCCCACCTTCAAAAAAGTTAATGAATTGGCATGAAAGTGATGTCCCTTGGTTCAGAAAGAGCTAAAACGAATATCTACCAAATTTCACCGAAAAATATTCACTGGTTTTCAAGATATTAGGCTTTTACTTTTGTTTACTTTTTGGATCTCCCCTGTTACTAGCGACTTTATTTGGAAGCAATAATTTGGCAGCCTTAAAGTGCGGCAGACGTTGCGCGCAAAGCAGCGTATACCACCACGTGTTAACGATGGTTTTAGTCTAAGATTTAAAAATCGTTAGATCTCCGCTGGGCGCTGACGTCACAAATTCTAAGGGGGCATTCCAATGCATTAGCCCCTTAGAATCCGAAAACTGCTAGTTTGAAATTCCATATCTTCGAATTAAAGCATTTTTCGATGTTGTGAGTGCCCAAACCGGTATTTGCAGGCCATGGCCACCAATTTGGCTATCTCAACTCAAAACTAATGTTAAGGTGGGAGTGTCCCTTTAATATCAGTCAGTTACGGTAAATTCCCGCAAACCACCGACACGAAGCACCGCACTTGAGGGTAGGTTCAAGTGTTACTTCTGATAACTACATATGTTGCATGATGGCAGTAGCCAATCCGATAATACTACGTACATGTAGGAGAGCAAAGGGGCCCCTAATGCCCACTAAAGATGTTCATGACTCATGTCAGTTATCACAAAGGTATTGCAGAGCGTCCTCTATCACTTCGACTCGAGACACCAGTCGGACCATGCCAGTGGGCGGTCCTTAGATATCAAGCACGGTAGAGTTCAGCAACTCAAAGGCGTCTCAGTTACCTCTAAACGACCGAGGCAGGACGGCATGACGCTCGCCGGAAGGCTCAAGTCGAAGAGGGCTCGAATGAGAGCGTTACAGCACTCTTAAAGGTAAGAACAGCGATCACTATTGCGCAATGCACATTGCTTCGTCCTCGCCAGTTTGGCTTAAAAAGATACCTACCTATCGGTTAAAGCCCGAAGGTGGAGAAGGAAACTGATTGACCCCCTCGCTGTCTCGCCCCTATTCTCCACGAGCCGCTGAGGGGGAGGGGCATGGGGCATTATGTTGCCCTTCTTTACGTTTTGTATGACATCTCCAATACCTGATAAGCTATGAGCTTGAAACATGGTATACATTGGTATAGCTTCACATGAATACCTAGGTCATACGTGAGGAAAGTTTGGGGGCTTTAAAATCTAAGATGACGTCACAATGACATCGCAAATTTTGTCTTTTTCCTATATGGAGCGTTTCTGATGTCACTGAGTGTGAAACGCAATGGTAAATGAACAAAACAGCACTTTCTGTCATCCACTTGCTGTCATCCTAATAAATCTTAGTACACTTTCAACTATGTAGTTCCTGACAATAAATTGATCATAAAATTATGTCCCAAAGATCGGAAACATCGTGAGGAAACTTAGAACCGCCAACCTGTACTTGGACTTCTGCAGAGTCACTTTGACGTCATTTCAAATGGGATGAAGACCAAATTTGAGCACAATTTTGAATGGCTATTTAGGAATGTATGTGCAAAGTTGCGCTTCGCTATCTCTTCGCATTGCGACGATATCATTCGTCGGAGTAGTTAAAGGGACAACTACTTGCCACCCCCCCCCCCTTAGCGGCTGTACAGGTCCAGCTTGGTCGCCGGGATAAATTGACCATCCCATCTTAACATTAGTTTTAAGTTGAGATAGCTAAATTGGGGTCCCTGGCTTGCGGTTACCGGTTTGGGCACTCGCAACATAGAGAAATGCTCTATAATTCTGAACTGTATCTAGTTCCAAAGTCGGCTATATTCGGATTCTAAGGGGCTAATGAATTTGAATGCCCCGATAGACCTTATGACGTCAGCGTACATCTAGCGACTTTTAACCCGGCAGTTGCTGGGGTATTTCGCCACCCACCGTTTGCTGGGGGGGGGGCGTTAAACGCCCCCAGCCGATAACTCGAGAACCAATAGGCGCAGCGAAACGCACGAGGCGGCAAACGAAAGAACGCGACGAGACGCTTCAGATGAGTACTTTAAAGTTGAATTTTGAGGTCACAGGTCGGGTCAAGGTCAGGTCAAACACCTGAAACCGGGCTTTCAGTAGCATGGACTTCAGGACTTCGCAATGGGCGCCTCTCGTCATAAACTCTGTCAAAACGGTGCACAATCCATCATATAAGGCCTACAAGAGTGTCATCTCCATGTAGGGGTCAGTCAAGCATAGGTCAGGGTCAAGGTCAGGTCAACCGGGTAGGCACATATCCCCAAAAATCAAAACTGATATTCGCAGCCTGTGACACATGTTTTATGGGTAATTTGGGGCGTAGAACACGATGGTGACATTCATTTTATCATATGTGTACGTGTTTGGCTCAAAAAGTTCAATTTAAGAAATGCATGTATCATTGTCGTAAAGTAGTCACGAGAAATTGCCGACATTCAGTTCAAGATTTTGCAAAATGCGGAACGATAATCAATAATCGAAGATAGCCATTTGATTGTTCATGGTATTGGCAGTCTAATGGCGTTTACGGCATGTCTGTATGTCTATTCTGTGATTTTATATGATTTTTTGAACATATGCCGTTTTTGGTCGAAAACTCAGAAATCATGACGTCACTAAAACCTCGATATCTCAAAAATTTTCCGACAGATTTTTTTGAAACTTTGTCACAATAAACTTCAATCAATTTCCTACAGGAACCCAAAATTTGGCGCGCCTGCGGCGCGCCGTTTTTATGCTATGGCCCGGCGAAAAAAGTGGGGGCGTTTAACGCCCCCCCCCAGCAACTCGCGGGTTAAAGCATATACTTAAATCTTGATAAAAGACCATCTTTGCTGTAGTGGTATATGCTGTGGTGGTATATTGCGCGCAATATCTGCCGCACTTTAAGATACCAAATAATTGCTTTTATGTCCGTAATGACGTCATATTAACAATAAAAAGTTACTGCGAACAATACGAACACCGTAGGATGGACATGCCCACACAGTCCAAAGTTCAGCTGCAGAAAACCGTAGCTACCTAAATGCTAAAGGCACTTTTTACGCACTTCAGGCCATCGTTTATTAGCGATCCCAGGAATTGCTTCGTTGAATATGGTATGCGTTTGTCTATACTGGATTCCCTGATAAATGTTACCAAAGACCATGAAGCCCTTGACCGTAGAGGGGGGGGAGGGTTAACTCCAAGAGGTACAGCAACGACATTTCTCCTGTTTTGACATTAGCGAAAATTCATTCATTCTGTGAGGGACATTTCACATTGGCATTTGGCTGGGTGTCAGTGGAGCAAAAAAAAAAAAACACCGCGTTCAGAAAAGGCATGATCAGCTGATAGTTGTGTATGGGGTAGTGGATAATCCCGTGCCTAACTCATCTTCTTACACTTTTCATGTCCTTAGTTCCAGAGAACCGCCGCCATGGGGGTCTTCCGTGGCGAACCACCGCGGCCTCGATGGCTGCCGAGACTGCTGATGATATCACTGGTGTTGATCGGAGCTGTGCAGGGCCGTCCCAGCGGCCAGCCGGCCGTGTGCGGCCGGTCCTGCTGCTCCGTGATGCCCTCGTGTGAAGACGCCTATAGAGTGACGTGCGACTGCCCAGACCTGGACAAAGTGAGTAATTATTTTCAATCCATTATAATACTTCAAACCAAGAGCAGGAATGAATAATGGTACCTAAACATTTGAGTTATTTTTATCCTTACGAGTGGTTTAATTTTTTTTCTTCCCTTATTGATGGTTCGGACGAAGCCTGCGTTTCCATCCGAAGCGATGTGCCATCATCAAAAACATTTTTTAGCAGCAAATTGTGAATATAAATCATAGCTCCTGAACAAAGTAACATATAAATAACCACTCTTACTCAAACTTTTATTTGATTTAGTTTAACTTTAATTAGAATTTAGTGAGGTAGACTTCAAATATGCTTATAGCCACTTACCATGCTATTTCTTTCGTAGATGATCATTCGGAAAGAAGACCTTCCCTCTGCTGCCCGCGAGGTGGCCATCCGCCGCCCGCGACACGTCATCCTCGAGGAGAACACCATCGGAGGCCTGCCGTTCCTGGTCAGCTTCACCGTCAGCGATGTGGGCCAGCTGGAGATCAGACGGGGCGTCATTTCGTCAGAGATTTCGACCCAACTGCGCCGACTAAATTTCTTCCGTATTGATTCACTAATAGTTGAGCCTGGAGCTTTCTTCGATTCTAGAGAAATGGAACAAGTTTCGATTGCGTTTCATCAAATCAGGCTTCTTGTCATCGAGACCAACGCATTCGACATGTTTCTTGAAGACCTAGTCCTGAAAAACGTCAAAGACGCTTACATGAGACCGGAAGGCTTTTTCAAGTCAATTTCGATGATTGAGTTGAATAATGTGTCCATTGAAGAGTGCCACCAAGGATCATTCGGTCAGAATTCCAGACGCGTCATGTGGACTGATGTAACAATGGAAGAAGCAAAACCGGGATGTACCACTTTCAGGGATGGTGCCACTTTTGATGTCCAGGGTCTGAGACTAAACACTGTGAAAACCAAAGCATTCTCCGGCAATCCTCGCGAAGTGGTGATCCGAGACAGCCAGCTGGGTCATTTACACCAAAATGCCCTCCATCTCCGGCTCACTAAATTTACATTAAGAAATGTAGAAGTTGGTACGCTGCATCCGTTCTCTCTTCACATCAGTTCGAAAGGCCCAGTCTATATCGACCATGTGCAAATCGATGAAATGCAACGTGACGCCCTTCGGGGCATCCGTTTGAAGTCTTCTGCCCCAGCGAAACTGCTCCTGATTGATCTGGAGATCCTTTCAGCAGAAAACTCATCGTTTGCTCTCTCTAAAACGATAAAAGATCGCAGCCTGAACGCATCCCGCATCAATGTGAAGTCAAGACCCATTCCCGTGTGTCCTAACGAGAAGTACGCCCGCTTCTTGACTGGTGTCGGGGACACAGGACAGATGACCCCAGCCCAAAGCAAAATCTCAGAGGCACTCACAGGAAACATCTTTTGCGATTCATTTGAGTGGGAAGGCAGCGAGGACTTCGAGAGACCGATGGTTGAAACAGCTCAAGACGCCTCAGTGGAACCCAAAAACGGACATGGACCTGGAAATCGCCCTAAGGGCGACCGTGGACTGGAAGAAGAAGACGTCTCTGACGCTGACAATGAGGACGAAGATAGACCTACAAAGCAGGAGGAGGAAAGGCCCGGACACGACGCCGAGAACGCGAGTGTATCCAGCGGTGGCGTAGACGACCGCGATGGACTTCAAGTTCGTACTCACGACGACCATGGTCCCACAGCTGATACCAAAGACGACCATGGACCGACGGCTGATACCAAAGACGATCATGGTCTGACAGCTGATACCAAAGACGACCAGCGATCGACAACTGATACCAAAGACCAAGACGACCATGTTCCCACAGCTGATACCAAAGACGACCAGCGGCCGACAGCTGATACCAAAGACGATCATGGTCTCACAGCTGATACCAAAGTCGACCAGGGACCGACAACTGACACCAAAGACGACAAAATTTCTGTGCGTGACAATGATGATAACGATGGTCATGCTGCTACTGATGACGGCGGATCTAGGACTATGGCTGTGGTGGGTGGCGTTCTTGGTGGCGTTGCTGCCTTCGCTCTACTGCTGGCAGCTGTAGGCTTATGGAAGTATCCAAACTGCCGAGACAGAGCTTTGGGTTACTTCAGAGCTTTCGAGGGATGAGCAAACACCTAAAAAACCACTTACCTGACATTGATTGGGAGGAGTGGGGAGGAGGATGTTTGACGGCGTCCTGCCGACTTCCCGCGATAGCTCAAAAACTACATAATAACGCGATTTTCCTGAAATACATATGATTTATCCTCTCTTAAATTATTTACATCCGCTTTAAGTTTCAGTTCATTCGACAAAAAAGGAAGGTTTTGATCTTATTTGTTACGTCACTATACGCCGCTTCCATTTCATAATTGGATCTATTTAACCTGATCTTGACTACCTTGAGGTGCAAAAATTGGTTTCAAGTAACCCATAGGATACTTTTATCCTATGGGTAAAAGTATCCTAAAAGTATCCTACGGGAGAGCCAGCCGGGCCACGGGATCCCGGTGGCGGCCGCCCCGTGACACAGTGATGCAAATGGGGTTCACGAGTGGCCATAAATACCGAAAAGGCCGGAATTTCAAGTTCACTTAATCGAATAAATCGTAATATGGCCAGTCAGGCAAATGCTTGGGGTATCTGAAAAAAACATGATTTTTACATTTTTGTCAAAACCGGCCTCGTGTATGATTGTCAGAAGTCGTGATATTTTCTATGTCGTAAAATGACTGTCAGATACTCGCAAGTTCAAACGCCGCTAGCGTGCGTTCATTTCATACAAATAGCAAAAATTATGCATAGCAATGATCCCCAAGGTCTGCTGCTTCTAATCCAGGGTCACAAAAAGCCGTATCTCTTTTGGTTTGGCGTTGGTCTAACTATTTGCCATCATGTTTCAATCGCAGTTTTTTATTTAAAAATATTTGCTTTCGTTTCACCTACAGCAGTTTACACAGTATGTGCCCGTTAGTGCACCATACCATAGCATTCCATTTCTGAGCCGCACTGTGAAAGAATGAAGGCGCTAGCACAGGGCTGACCGGCGCTAATAAAGCTTTTGTCCGTTGCGGTCGGGTGCCGCGGACAAAAACACGAATAGGGTAGTGTAGTGTAGTGTAGTGTAGTGTAGTGTAGTGTAGTGTAAAGTAGGAGTAGGAGTAGGAGTAGGAGTAGGAGTAGAGGTAGGAGTAGGGTATGGTAGGGTAGTGTAGGATAGTGTAGGGTAGTGTAGGGTAGTATAGGGTAGTGTAGTGTAATGTAGTGTAGGATAGGAGTAGGGGTACCGTAGGAGTAGGAGTAGGGGTATTGTAGGAGTAGAGTAGGAGTAGAGTAGGAGCAGGGTAGGGTAGGGGTAGGGTAGGGGTGGGGTTGAGTTAAAAAAACGCCCAGCATACAAAAGACTTGAACACCCCGCAGTTATCACCAATATACCTTACAGTTTAATTAAAAACAGCAACCTAAATCTACCCAAATAATACAGCTAGAAATACAAGTCACTCACCCAAACTAATGTACCCGTAACATTAAATAAAGCAAAACATACAGGTATCGCGTAAACCTGTACCTCTAGTGTGTCCTAACTTTTAGATGCTGTCGAATGGTGTGTCTCTTAGATATTTTGTATCGACTTTATTTAAACGGTTCGTTACAGCTTAGTTTTGGTATCTGAAATGTTTGGGTTATTTTCTTTCAATCATGCTCCATATATAACCATCTTTATAGTTTCTTGATCGATAGGTAGTATTCGCACTTTCTGTAATGGAAAAACCATTTGTGTTGTTCATGTAATATGTTCAATATATGTTGTTCAAGCAATAAACTGTCTGATTGGCGGAACAAATAATGTACCTATGAGAAAGCAGAACCATGGTAGGCATGAACCAGCATGCATTAGCCCTCGCCGGCAAAGGCCAATTTGCGTCCTTCGACGGCACAAGGGGGGTTGGTACGACCCCCCTCGCGTTTGGCCCCTGATCGAGCTAGAGCTTCGCAGAAAAAACGAGCGTGTTGCCCGTGACGAGAGGAAGCCAATGATACCCAACTTTTAGGTCCTAGGTCATTGGTTGACCTTCCAGGTCAGGTAAATGACCAAAAAGTCGAGAAATCGGGAACTTTTAGAACGTCGTAAAGTGCGGCTGCTATGGGGTTTCGGGGTGCCGATGAATATCATGTTAATTTTGATCGCAAATGAAGTCTTTATGCATTTAAGCCAGGTAGGGTCAGGTCAGGTCAGGTCAACCAGTAGCGGTCCTGTCGGGTATTCGTAGTACGTGTCAACCGCCTCTGACATCTTTGTAACATTTTACGAAGCCACCAAACTACTTTGTAAATGTTCAAATCGTTCTAAATTCGAATTCAGCTCCAAAAACTAGCATTGAAATATGTAAACTAGAAAAAGTGAACCGAGGTCACCAAAGGTCAGTGACCTGATCTGACCTTCAGGTGACCTTGAATCCATCCAATCGAAATGCATGGGACCAACATATATCACATGTTTGAACGCTTTAAACCACGAAAAGACTGCAGCGGCTAATCAGAGCCGACACACGCCGAATCGCGATTCCGGCCATACATGGTCTCGGGAAATAGGTGACAGGTCAAAGATCGTTTGGGTCAGGGTCATGAATTTTTTTGGAAGGTAAGGTTTAAAATTGATCAACTCGAGGGTGCCGAAAGTTTCGTTGCGATCGGCCACTGTTTACGCGAGTTATTTGCGAACAACCGAAGGGAGTAGGTTCGACCCCCCCCCATACGAGCGAGGTTAAACCCGTTAGTTGCTGGAGTATTTCGCCACATACCACTGGCTGAATGGAGAAAGGCCCGTAAAACGCACCTAGCCGATAACTCGAGAACCAAAAGGCGCAGCGAAACGAGCGAGGCAGTAAACGAAGGACCGTGACGAGACGCTTCGGGTGATTAAGTTTTTGAGAAAGTGGGGGTGGATGAGGTGGTCTTGCCCGTAGTGTCTCTCGCGGATGGCACTGTTAGTGACGAACAGGGATGTCAGTTCCTCGGGTTCGCCGCGCCGTATGGCCTTGTGGGCGATGACGAGGGTTTAATAATCGGACATACCACTCGGGGCAACCACCCCAGCTTGGTCGCAGGTCAGAGATATGGTCAAATCTACGGCGGCCGTTAATAACGCCGCGGAAAAAGGTCGGAAAAATTGAAAAATGTTAACGACATTTACTCTAGCGGTGAAACTCACAATTTTTGGAGTCTTTTATTTTGGGTGGGGGCATATTGCCATAAGCTGAGGTGCACTACTGGATACGCGATTCTATGAGTGCCGTTAGGAGCATTTTAAATTATAATGATGCTATCCAGGAGACAGTGGCATGCATGGGAGAGACCAAACATCAACAGTCCCGTACATACACCGGCGGCAGAGTTCGGCGACGTGAGTTTGCTGGTTTTTTGCCTTTGACCTTGACCTCTGACCTTGTAAGCTTGACCTCTGACCTTGAAGTCAAAATTTTTAGATGCCTTAGAATCGTCTTGTGGAGACGTTCGGTTTGGTGCTGCTTTCGTCGATTATTCATTTGAGGGGCATGCGGGGAGACCTATACTCTCCAGGTAGCGGTGATTGGAATTACCCTCCGGGCCCGAGCGCGTGAATCACAGCGACCTGATCACTGACCGTCTACACCTGCAAATGGCACCTGTAAGTTGCACCTGCAAGTTCCACCTGCAAGTTCCTAACGGACTCACTTCAACGTTGGCGGCATCTGCGCCTATATTCACAATCAAGCTTCTAATCCTACACCGGGTAAGTACCATAAGGTGGGAGGACAATGGTATTCACAAAGAAATCCTCCGGTGCATTACCAAATAACCCTCTACTCCCCACCTACTACCCTTATCCTCACCCCTTGATGAACACGGTCACAGCCAGGTAGTGCGCAGAGGAATAAGGCCACCCTGCGTTGCGCGAAGTGCCTTCCGAGTGGCGGTAATGCTCATGATTCATGACACTATCAGTTATTGACGCACGATGTGACCTGTTTGATAACAAGGTTCGCTATCTAAGAGGATCTAAGACGAGAACAAACATTCAGTGCCTGGGAATAAAACTAAATACATTCCTTTCCTCGAATATTATCAGCCAGAGTAATAATTACAACTATTAACCCTCGCCCGCACATGCCATTTTCCCATCCTAGAACGCACATGGGGGGGGGGGTGGTTGCCACCCCCCCCCCGCGCCATTTCGTTCCTGTTGGAGATAGAGCTTAGCAGTAAAGACCAAAAAGATTCTTTGGGAAGAGACGAATCCAATGATACCCAGTTTTACCTTCTCAGGTCAGTCATTGACCTTCCAGGTCAGGTCAAACTAAAAAATGTTGCTGTTTTGGGTCACCGTTGGATATCAAGTGTGCTGCTTATCAAATACCGATGACGATGCTGTTTTCTGGTGCCAAGCCAGCTAGAACCTCTTTGTCACACTACCCGACCAGAATTCTGCTGCTGAGGTCATTTCAGGTCAAGTTAGGTCAAGGTCAATTATATGTGTTTGTATGTCTGTGTGTGTCTGTGTGTATACTGATGTGTGCACCGATTGTTTTTGGGTCCATATTACATGAAATCATGATCTGAGAAGCTTTTACCAAAAATGCAGTCAAAAAACTACAAAAAAAGTAAATTCAGCCTGCCTAAAACGCAATTATCTTAGGTGACCTAGGTTGACCTTGACCCTGACCTTGACCCCTGTACATCGTCGAACAACATGTTCCATGATAGGTAGGAGGTAAGACTGGCAAAAAAGGCCGAAATCAGGGTGTCAAAAGCTCATAAGGCCCATGGCAAACGCAAGATGTTGAGAATTGGCCATTTGGGTCATGACATGACCTGAAAAACAAGGTCATATCTCCGAAACCAAAAATCACAGAAACTTGAAATTTTCAGTGGACATCAAGAAAGGATAGAGAAGCAGCTATACGAAAAATCAGGCTTCTAGCTTTAAAAATGTTGAGTGCAGAGCAGAAAGACTACCTGGGGGGTGGCAACCACCCCCCCCCCCCATGTGCGGGCGAGGGTTAAGAGTAACTTTCGGATCATTCACTTGAGCTGATAATTTTGGAGAAAATGGTGATAATGGCTTTGTTAACTTTTATTCTCATAACTACATATGCTCCTGCCAAGGGCACCAAGCAGTATAAGTATCATTCTCATCATTACAGCAGTATAAATATCATTTGCACTTTGCAGCGTCGGGGCAAATATGAAATCATATACATGAAGGCACACATACTATAAAGCTATTAAATTCTTATCTGATGTTGTATGCATGAAGGCACACATACGCTAGATCTATTGAAGTTCTAATGCTACATGTCATTTCAAACAGCAAGCCTCTTAAATCGCTCCCTAATTGCATGTTCACACGGTGTAGACAGTCCACCATACGGATCACTTACGTTGTTCCAGATCAACTGGCGACCTGCACAGTAAAGGAATCTTGACATGCACCATCTTCGTTCCGACAGATCATAACGTCAAACACTGCCACCCCTGTCCCGATCGGTCCGCCAGTTTGGGCTCCAGATGCCAAAATGTTTGATATTGAAAACAGAGAAACAAGAAGACGACAGACAGACAGACAGACAGACAGACAGACAGACAGACAGACAGAACAGATATAGTTAGGAACATACACTCAGACTCCCAGTTACGACCCAACTTCTATTTTCTAACCCTCCCTGATGGGATGTTTCGAACAGAATACATGCAATATGCAATGGTTTCTCCAGCACGGTATGATGGTCAATGCCAGCAAAACAGAGCTCCTGATGTGCGGTGACCGTCGCCAGCTGGCTCGGATCGACGAGCCTCCTAGATCGAGTTTATGGGTCAGGTCCTTGCTCTATCGCGAACTGTCAAAAACCTTGGTGTGGTCATGGACCCCGAGCTCACCTGGGAAGCGCACATCAACACCATCATCAACCGCTGCTTCGGCATTCTTATCGGTCTCATGCACATCAGACACATTGTTCCACATTCTATTTTACCTCGGCTTGTCGACTCTCTCGTTTTGTCCCATGTGCGGTACTGTGCTCCTGTATACGGTAGCGCCAATCGCACGACCATAGCCAGATTACAGAAAGTTTTTAACTTCTCAGCCGGAGTTATCTCCTGGCGGCGAAAATTTGATCATGTTTCTGATGTGCTAGACGAACTTGCATGGCTGCGTGTACCCGAGTTTATAGCGCATGTGGACATGTCACTGATGCATGGCATTCTTAAGTCGGGAAAGCCTGATGTATGTACTGCGTTCTTATATGTCCTATAAGTTATAACCATGAGCACGTGTGTCGAGACACCAGACAGTCGCACCTTTTAGCCGTACGTCGTGCGAAAAACAACCATGGCAAACGTCGATTTGTGCACCGAGCCGCCTCCCTGTACAATCGAATGGCGCTGCAAAACGGCTTGGCTGGTCTGAGTGTAGCAACGTTTAAGGCCAAGATGAAGGACTTACTGCGCCAGAGTAACGCAGTCGGGTAGGTCTATGCCGTGATAGTGTACTTTGTCACTGCTATGCCGTCATTGTACCTCTCAATTTATCTGGTGTGTGTATGTGTGTTTTTTTCATACCTATGCATATTGTCATGACGATGATCGGAGAATAGCCCTATTTTAGCGGAACGATCTGATGAAGTGCAATAAATAAATAAATAAACAATTGAATAAGATATTTTCTATATTTCCATACTGGGATACGTTTTCAATTATCCCTCCCCAGGAGAGAGAAGTCTGCCTGCTTCTTGTTTGCTTGTTAGCTATTTTTATGGACCCTTTAAACCCCCTACGCATTGATCTACAAATACAAACTTTGCACTATGGAGAGCTGTTCCAATTAGACTCATTTACCCTGCAAATTTGAATTGTTTCGACTTGTATAGGAGCCAATCGCGGGGTGGAGGGGGTCATATGCACCATTATCTGACTGGCCGCGTTATGCAGATGATTGTCTGGTCAGGCCTGCGATGATAGTGCCCCCACGCGGCCGGGTAGGGGTGTTTGAACGGTCCCATGCAGTCTTTCGCAGATATCTTGAAACCGTCGGCGTGGATCCCCGCCCATTTTAGCACACCTGTTCATGCATCTTTTCTGCACATGTTGAAAACATTTCAGGCCGTTTGCCCAAGGTCAGATCATCAGGCCACGTCGAGTGACCTTACCTCAGAACTTCGCCATAGCTACATTGACTATACTCGTAAACGATCGCTTAAAAGCATGACCATAGGAAAAGTAAACATGAAAGAGGACCACGCCATGGCTTGGGTGCTGGTGTGAAGCATTTCACACTAGCCACATACAAAGTCACACCCATGCTCATCGGAGGCAAGAAATACGAGTGGCTGCGCTACACAAAGTGTCGCAAATAAGTAAACAACAAAGCACCGTGATCAACAACCACGAACATGGATTGATTTCGAATCGACGACATCTAGTATCGTCAGTATGTTTCGACTTTCGACGCACCGTTCAACTAGCCTTGGACTTCTGTCCGACCTGTCACGGTTGGAGCTCGTGATGCCACTTGAACGCTAAATCCCCTTGTTTACCGCTGCACATGACGCATGAGCCATGAGAGGCTCGCATTATAATTATCAATTGCTCTGTATATGTCATGGGGCACTTGCAGGCGCCGGTGTTGCAGATAGTCTGTATCAATATGAGGGAGGGAGGACCCGTAATCCAGAGAAGTGGTCCATATCACAAAGGTGTCGTTGTGGGTGGTGGGGGTAGGGGGGGGATATCATGTTTTACGACTTCAGACAGCTAGCAACATCGTGTCTATCTGATGTTGATACTCGTGATGGCCCGTCCCGCAATCAAGTAGGTATGGCTGAATGTTGAGTCAGAGCCCGCACCACTCAGAGCTGTGGCGGCGGTCACCGGGACAGGAAGGCTAGCGTTCGTCGGAGGGTGCCACATCTAGGGACCAAACGGCTGAAGACTTCAGCGCACTCGAAGAGGTAAGAAATAATTTCAAATACTAAAGGAAAGATATTTTGTTAAAGTAGAAAACAAATTCAATAATACGAGTAGCTCCTTTCACGACGGCTATTTGGATAGAGGTACGAATTCACATTTGGTGCAGATTTGGTGCAGATTCAATCAAGTAAGGTTCGTTGTGTTTGATATGTGGCTCATCATCTTGGCTTGCGTAGTTGCCTTTTTTGTATCTTATTATATTTTATCAGATACGTGCGGCTAATAACCATAACTTAAAACTCCATGACATGTGTTACATCTCAATTATTGAAATGAATGTTTGAACTCGAGATCTCCTTATTACCAAAATGTCAATTTTGAACCGTCAGTTGATAATACTATACACCGAAGGTCAATATGTCAATAAATTTGACTTCTTCATCGAGTGAGCTCAACAGCTTGGACAGTGCATGGAACAAACATCATTTCACATGATGGCAGATCTAAAACGACAAAAAGTCTGGAACCAAAAGCAGGATTAAAGTGCCGGGGCTGAATGGCGGACCTGGCCTGATGCAGTCTCGGAAAAAGTTGCAGACCAAGCAGACCAAAAGTCCTTCGGAGCAAGGCCATTTTTTTAGAATATGCGTAGGCACTTGATTTTGAATAGCTGAAGGATACTCAAATTTTCGCCACGATCGGGCGCTTTTATCGCAAGCTATTCGCGTGAAAAACAGGGGTTATGGTTCAATCATCCCTAAAAGTGCGAGTTTTTTTCTTTAAACGTTCGTGGCTGGCAAAAAAAAAAAACACGGGCGAGGGTTAACCCACGCTTTATTGGTGTTTTCCCAGCTTCGGACGTATATGGGGGTCCGTTGGACCCCCTTGCCGTTCGTCCCTGATCAAGGTAGAGCTTCGCAGAAAAAAAAAACGAGCGTGTTGCCCGTGACGAGAGAAAGCCAATGATACCCCATGTAAGGTCCTAGGTCATTGGTTGACCTTCCAGGTCAGGTCAATGACCCAAAAGTCGGGAAAATCGGGACCTGAGTTAGAAGGTCGTAAAGTGTGGCTGCTATGTTTTTTTTTTTTTGGGGGGGGGGGCTGATCACGAAAACCATGTGAGTTGCGATCACAGATGATGGCTTCATGCATTTAGGCCAGGTCGGGTCAGGTCAGGTCAGGTCAACCAGTAACGGTTTTGCCGGGTTTTCGTAGTAGGTGTCAACCGCCTCTGACAGCTTCGTAAGAAGGTACGAAGGCACCAAAATTACTTCGTAAATGTTCAAATGGTTGCTAAATTCGAATTCAGCTCCAAAACTGGCCTAGAAACATGTGAAAGTCGAAAAAAGTGAACCGATGTCATCAAAGGTAAATGACCTAACCTGAACTTCAGGTGACCTTGACACCCACCCTTAATCCTTATGCATTGGAGGGACATCATATCCCATTTTTGAACGCTTGAAACCACAAAAGGACTGCAAACGCGCGGCTAATGTGAGCCGACATACACCGAATCGCAGTGCTGGCCAAACGTGGTCTCAAAAAGTAGCTCATCAGTCAAAGGTGCTTGCGGTCAGGGTCATGGAATTTTAAGGGTATGTGTAAAATTGATTAACGCGAGGGTACTGAAAGTTTCGTCGCGATTTGCCACTTTTTACGCGAGCTATTCGCGAAAAAACCGAGAGGGTCCGTTCGAACCCCCTCCCTGCACACTGCACAGGCGAGGGGTAAACTTTTCGTGTCCTTTGCTCCAGAAAACTGTCGCCATGGCGATCTCCCGTGGCGAATCGCCGCGGTCTCGATGGCTGCTGAAACTGCTGATATCACTGGTGCTGATCGGAGCCGTGCAGAGCCGTCCCAGCGGCCAGCCGGCCGTGTGCGGCCGGTCCTGCTGCTCCGTGCTACCCTCGTGTGTGGACGCCAAGAAAGTGACGTGCGATTGCCCGCATATGGACGAGGTGATTCTGAGTGTTATTCCGAGTAGGAATTGGAATGACATTTGTGTATGAGATCGCTGTTAAGTGTGTAGATATTTTTGTGTGGCTTCCTTTAGTCTTTCAGTCATGCAACATAAATTTTTCACTCGCACAGCTTGATGCCTTCAGGTATATATGCTTTACAATGTGATTATAGGTTCGAAAATGCAAGTGAGGCAATACTTGACCCCACCTAACCAAAGGCACACAAGTATAATTGATAAGTCAAACGTTTGACGAGACAAAATATTGACTGCTGAACGCTTTACCTATTCTGCAGATGGTTCTTCGGAGGGGAGATATTCCTTCCACCGCTCACTCGGTGACCACACGCAACACGCGACACGTCATCCTCGAGGAGGACGCCATCGGGGACCTGCCGTCCCTTGTCAACCTCACCATCAGCGATGTGGGCCAGCTGGAGATCAGGCGGGACGGCATGGCCTCCCACAACCAGACCAGACTGCGCTCCGTGCTGTTCCAGAATATTCAGTTACTCCATGCCGAGAGTCACTCCTTTACCGGCATCTGGCAGACGGAGACAGCCGTCCGAATGCAGCTCATCAAAGAACTCCATGTCATGTCTAACGCCTTCAGCTATCAGGCCATTGAAACAGGTCCCAGTGTGTCTCTGCAAAATGTCCACCGGCTTAACCTTCAGTCAAACGGTTTTTCGGCTACGATGTTTGGCATGTATCTCACGAACGTCAACATGAGCGAGTGTCAGAAGGAAAGTTTCGGTGGAAACACCTACGTCACTGAATGGAATAATGTAGCAATCACCGATATGCATGCTAAGTGCTTCCACAGCTTGAAACACGTCGGATCCCTAAATCTGAATTCTGTCCAAATTGCAACCATCCGTCGTGGGGCGTTCTCGGGAGATATCCGTTCCCTGTATGTTCAGAACAGCCATTTCGGAACTGTTGAGAAAAGTGGTATCAACATGAGGGTCTCGAACATGGACGTATACAAGTCAACTATCGATGAGCTGAAGTCGGAGGGCATCAACATGTTCGCAAAGGAGTGGTTCAAGATGAAGACCATCAGAATTAACCATCTAAGAAAGAACGCTTTTCTCGGAGTAAAAATGGGTAAGGATAACGTTGGTATCTCACGCATCTTGAAACTACACAGGATTGAGATAATTGAAGCCGAAAACGGGTCCCTGACATTCTCCGACTGCAACGAAGTGGACCTGAGGGACCTCGACCTGACTGCTCCGCTGCCTCCAATCTGCCCCACGGACCGATGGACGCGGTCTCTGTCAGCCGGTGGGGCGGGAGGTCGGCTGAGCAAGGCGCAGTATCAGCTTTTCTTCCAACTGCTGGACCGACGCTGGTGTTCCGAGGACGGCTGGACTGAGTTCCCGGACTCGGCGGAAAGACCCAGCTGCCAGGAGGAGAACGAGTGGACTCCGGACTCGCTCGAAGAAGACCTAGACGACGACACGGCTGCTGGCCAGACCAGTCAGGACACTTTCAGCGAAGATTACAGCGAGGAGGAGAACTATGCTGCTGTTGTAGATCATAGTGCTGGTGAGTCTGCCGAGGATGAAAATGAAGACGAAGCTTTCTGGGGCCGCGGATATCAACAGAGCATTTCGGAGAAGTCAAAACTGCCAGCGAACGCCGGCAGTTCTGACGTTGCTGATAGTGCGAGTAGTGCAGGAAGTGCAGGTAGTGCAAGTAGTGCAAGTAGTGCAGGTAGTCCAAGTAGTGCAGCAGGAAATCATTTTGACACAATGCCAAACCCCAGCAACAAGTTCCTGTTCACCACTGCATCATCAGGTGTAAAGGCGACTGTGGCTGCGGCTGGTGACAGAGGAACTGACCACTCTTTGGAAGAGCCCGGCCCTACAGCTGGCGGCGAAACTGTGGAAGGGTCCCTAAATAAACTCCATGATGGCGGGCAGTCTGAAAACGTCCGAGAGGAAAACCAGGGAGCTGTGCCCGATTCTGCTTCCTCTGACGGTACTGAGCATTCTTCCGTGGACGGTGAACTGGAAGACGGACATCGTATGATGCTCTACGTCACGCTGGGAGCTTTCCTGATGCTAGGGATCGTTCTTACTGTGGCGTTGGCCGCCATCATTATCCGCAAAAAGCCCAAGCGCGGTCAGCAGTATTTGGCCAACATTCATCAGGAAGAGGCTCCGTTGAGGGTTCCCAACCTTGGCAAGGCTGACACTAAGAAACTGAATGTTGCTGATGTACGCGGTTCGACTGAATCAGTCTCCAGTCAGCTTTCTCAGCCTCATATATATGAGGAGATTGACGACAAGGCACCGGCACGCGTCCATCACGTCTATCAATGGTCTTCCGAGTATTCGAGGATGTGCCCTCAGACGCCGGCAGATTTTCCCCCAGCGCCTCGGTATCAGAACCTGAAACCTCTCCCCCAATCGTACCGCTACATTGGCTCGAATTTTTAAACAGTGGTTGTGAGCATTGGGTCCTGACTTCTAGGAAAAAATGGAACCCAGTTAAACCCGGTGGCTGTACTAGTGACAATATTGGAGACGGTGAATCTCATGTTAAGTACGCTTATTTTCAATTTTGTGCATTTGCTGTTCATCCTGTTTTTAATATTTTCACACGTATGTATATCAGACATGTGCATGGATCTGAGTATATGGATCTGAACTCCAATAATGTAGATTCTAACCTGGTATCCCATTGGATCATTGAACCAGGTGTTTCTTGACGTTTGAGAAATCGTTGAAAATGATACTTGTAGATCAAACCATTATAAGTAACATTAAATCCAATAGTAATCCAATAGTATAAGTAACATTAAATCCAATAGTAATAAATCCATATAGTAAGATATTGAACCAGAACACAAGTTTCTTGATTCAAACGTATTTATGGTGTGGCTAGTTGAGCTGGTCTTTGTAAACTGAGATATGCAGTAGATAAATGCTCATTACCACTGTTTTCCCGTTATTAGATGACATGCTTTCAAAATTGTATGATTTTGTTATGTTTCCACGCGCACTTCTATATATTGTTGTATTTATCCCCGTAGTAGACCTTATTTGAGAGTACTCTATTCGGCATTGAAAACTTAACGCTTCATCAGGCCATGCTCCGTTTGACAATTTTTATGCACGTACGCATCCATTGCATGTCCCGTTACATGAAGAACAATCGCGTTGGTTCGCTGTGAAACTGCCAGCCGCCCGCTGAAGGGCTTTTACAGTTTGTAGAAGTGAGTTTGCTTCTTGTTCTTTAGAAGCCGACATGGAAAGCTTATTGATCTTGCAGTGAGTTAAAAAAGACAGTTCTTCAAGTAGCGAGGCACATGAAGAACAATGCATGACTTGCTGCGTGAAGAACGTTTACATTTATTCGCCTTGAAATTGCCCATCAGTCTTTTGAGGGCTAAAGTGGCCCGCAAGACCTTGCTCAGGTCTTGTGGGCCCCGTAGAAGTCCTCGGGAGGATGGTTAGCAGTTTCATAGCGGTCCCATTGTCGTCGCGAAATCTATTAAGATCACAGACTCTATACTCAGATCCATGCACGTGGCTGATTTGTACGTTGTTTAATTTTACTTATTAATGGTTTGTGATTAGTTATCTTAACGCAAAATAAATACGAGTGAAATTTACCCCAAGTGCTTAGTTTTAACTCTTAACTGGATCCTAACGGACAAGTTACATGAGTGAATAATACATATCACGGCACATTTCTCAACAGCTGGTTGACGCAATAAAACTGCTCTGTTACAATTTGTTCAATTCCAGCTCAAATAACTAACTTAATACCTAAGCAATTTATCAGTAAACAAATACATTAGAGGAAATGTATATGATTTCGGGAAGATGTAAATACTAATTTAATAATAAATTCTATAGATTCACCGTTCTCGATGTTGTCACCAAAAGCCACCGGTTCTGCTGTAGCACAGGTCAAATAAACTTTGTCCGCAATTAACTCAAAATACTAGTGATAAAATCACCAATTCGAGCATATTCGAGTACGACTCTTCAGTCTTCATCAACCGATAGCCAACCATGGACGCATGCTGGTTATCGGCTGCTCATCCGATTGTCCGACTGTCAATATCGTTTCTTTAAGAGATAATTATAGCGACATAACTAATGGCAAAATTATATTTGTGACGCGTCAATACGCCTCTACATTTACAGTATCACTATAGATTACCAAGAATGCCTTAAAACGTTAAAAGCAACAATCACTCGTAAGGAAAAAACAAGTATTTAGTCAGACCTTATGAGCTGTTACCAGGCCAAAGCCTGTGACTGCATTGCTCGGTTTGACTTGTGCAAAGTTCCTCAAATTCGAAATTTTAAGTGGACCCATTGCTTACCACTGCTGTTTTAAAATTCATGACACGGTTGGAGCCAAAGCAGAAATGCCTCCAATGATCAACAGCCTGGCATCAAAAGTGAGTGCTAGGAAAACAATTAAAAAAAAACTATGTACAAATAGAAGAGAAATGTGTTGTGGGTCGCAATGCTGTAGATTTAATGGTCTATCGTGCAGGAGATTAGGAAAAGAATTATTAAAAAAAAGGACTTATGACTTTAATTCTACGAAGTTCTACAGTTTTTCATATAAGTCTACAGTAGAGCACTTCACGGATAGGCTTTTTAGGATCCGGCCCGGCCCATATCCGGCAAGTCATATCCAGATCCGCCCATTATCCGCCTTTCTTTGAATATCAGAATCCGGCCCACCCATGGCCCGTATTGCAGCCAAACTTCCAAAAAATATCCGTAATAATCCGTTTCACCAATAACTGGTTTCACCCAAAACTGGACTAACAAATTCAATCTAAGGGACCAGACAGCCATACATATCATAGACCATCATGGTTCCAAAAACCATGCATACATTGCTTACATTATCCACTTGAAGACAAGTCTTGTGACAAGTGAGTGTCATAAAATGATGCCTATTACTTTAATCAAACCCCTGCTGCCGCTTAACACATTAGGTTAATTTTTAACTTCAATGTTGAATGTTAAAATTTTGATCCGTTTTGATCCGGGTTCAACCTTCAATTCCCAAATCCGGCCCGCCCATATCCGTTCTTTTTTAACAAATTTAGAATCCAATCCTATCCGGTCCGCGGATTTATCCGTGGATAACGGATTTATCCGGCCCATGAAGTGCTCTAGTCTACAGTGACAGTGTAATTCTACAGTGCTTCATATGCTTAATATGTTAAAAGGTGAACGACTAGTTCCGGTGCAAGCGTTGTGACAAGGCTGGTGCATGTTTCATTGATTGGTTGTGAAACTGCCCACCGCACTTGTGTGGTCTTTAATGGCTGCTATGCTTCTGGGAACCGCGGAAGTCTCATTAGTGTGCTGAGCAGCTTAACAGCGATTCCATTGGGGCTATTGATGTGCAGAGAGATAGGCTGTCGAGTATCGAGCGAGGTTTACCAAGCGAGGGTATATGATCATGCTGCATTGGCAGTGTTTTGCTTCACTATTTTCGAATGAGGGTTGCTTGTAATCGGCTGGCATTGCGTATTGCTTTCATTATTCGCTGCCTATTATAGGATGCTGGAAACTCCGAGAAGTATCTGTACAAACATGTGTTTTAATAAAAAAAAACATCATCATCAGTGCTGCTTTTTCTTCCGACAACCGTATATTAGCGTTAGACGATCATGGAGCTGATGCCTGCTCAGCTGGATTCAGGTCGCGGCAGCTAACAGATGCCTAGGTAATGTACACTGTACCTACAGTTATGTGAGAGGATCTCCAAAAGCTCTGAAGATTGGGAAGGTTGTATAATACATCTGCTATGACTCGAATCTGCATAGGTAGACACTTATTACTTAGACACTATTTTAGTAAACCGCGTATTTAAAGGGACCCTCCCACCTTCAAAAAAGTTAATGAATTGGCACGAAAGTGATGTTGCTCGGTTCAGAAAGAGCGAAAACGAATATCTACCAAATTTCATCGAAAAATATTCACCGGTTTTCAAGATATTAGACTTTTACTTTTGTCTACTTTTTGGGATCTCCGCTGTTCCTAGCGACTTTATTTGAAAGTGCGGCATTTGTTGCGCGCAAAGCAGCATATACCACCGCGTGCTACCAAACGTTTTAGTAAAAGATTTAAAAATCGTTAGATCTCCGCTGACGTCACAAATTCTAAGGGGCATACCAATGCACTAGCCCCTTAGAATCCGAAAACTGCAAGTTTGAAATTCCATATCTCCGAATTAAAGCATTTGTCGATGTTGTGAGTGCCCAAACCGGTATTTGCAGGCCATGGCCACCAATTTGGCTATCTCAACTCAAAACTGTTGTTAAGCTGGGAGTGTCCCTTTAATTAATTGCTGTATCGATCAAATAAGCATTTCATTAAACAGAAAAAACACTACACCGCCAAATATCAGCCGACTTGACCCATCTACAGACACCCAAACGATTTCATTATTGACCCTTTCAACACACAGCTTTCTGTACTGTCAGGAATCTGCGGAATCCCGGCACTCCGATCGTCCTTTTCCCGGCCGTACCGGGGCGTGCCGAGCCTGTATCGAACGACGCACGCTGATTGGCCGCCGGTCGCGCGGCAACCCGTGACGTCACCGAGCTGACCTTGGCCGCAGAATGCCTGGGGCGTCAGAAGGCGTCGCGCTGGCCGTGTGGAGGCTGTGGAAGCTCACTGACCGCCAATTCGAGTTGCGCTATAGACTGCGTCGCGTGCCATATTCGTTCAACTGTGTTGTGTTGAATTCTGGTGACGAATTCCATCGAATTACATCCTATCTGTGACTGCGTTTCGAGACGAAGAGGGGTGTGTTTAGGGTAGAGGAGAGGAGATGCGACTGGAGGAAATGAGGAGGCCTCCGTCTGGACAGGGCGAGGCCGAGATCGGACAGGAGGACCGGCTCTCCGACGGCAGCACGGACAGAGCCATGAGTCAGGTGAGTTGAGAGTCAGTTTTGTTGGTTGTGAGTCGATTGAATGAGTCGCGAGTCAGTTGAATGAGTCGCGAGTCAGTTGAATGAGTCGCGAGTCAGTTGAATGAGTCGCGAGTTAGTTGAATGAGTCGTGAGTTAGTTGAATGAGCCGTGAGTTAGTTGAATGAGCCGTGAGTTAGTTGAATGAGCCGTGAGTTAGTTGAATGAGTCGCGAGTTAGTTGAATGAGTCGCGAGTTAGTTGAATGAGTCGCGAGTTAGTTGAATGAGTCGTGAGTCGGTTGAATGAGTCGTGAGTCGGTTGAATGAGTCGTGAGTCGGTTGAATGAGTCGTGAGTCGATTGAATGGGTGGACGAAATTTAACCCACGTGTGCCAGAATAGTGAGCTGTGTCAGTTTGGGAAACTGCAAGGCGAAAATCCAGATATTGATTGACCAATAATTTGTTGGAGTGGGAGGGGCTATGACCATATAAAGGCATAAGTGGCCGTCCATAAATTACGTTACGCATGAGGGGAGGTGGGTTTGATCGAGCGTAATGATAGCGTAATAGGGGAGGGGGGGGGGGGGGGTAACGTTAACACCACAACGTCACAAAAGCACCACCTGAATGACAATCCCACCTTAACCCTGTTCGGGGCGGCCTCTGAAAGGTTCGATTCTGGGTGGGAACCTTCTCTGTCCCCTTTCATGCGAAATAAGCATGCGATGCCGATGACCTTCACAGGTCAATTTGAAATTTAACCCGAAGTCGAGGTCACCAATCAGGTTGTGGGGTATGGTCATGCTGCATATCAAATGACTCTCCCTGACCAGGCGAGCAGTTTGGTACCACTTACAAGTCTTAACCCGCGCCCTGCTGGGGGGGGGGGTGTTTGAACACCTCCCCCCCTTGTGATTTTTCCGCCAATATCTCAAAAACGGCGGCCGTTTTTGGTACACCTTATCATACATCAATTCTACACATGTTGTGAAAATTTCAGACCAAGGTCATTCAAGGTCAGGTCACCAGGTCACTTGAAGTGACCTCACCTCATAAAAAGTTTCAATGTCTGTCATAGCTACACCGAGTGACTGATCCCTTTGAAACTTTCAGCGATTGCTAAGAGCAATAGCATGTACAAAATGTATATCTCGCGCCCCACTGGGGTCTGCGTATAACACGCCCTACTGGGGGGGGGGTGCTATTCATAGCCCCCCCCCCTCCTAACTCCAAAACTACTGGGCCGATCGTCAAAATTCAAACGGCGTCTGATAGCCCCGGAAAAACTGTCGAACGAAACCTAATTTCATTGACCTCGAGGTCACCGATGACGTCACAGGTCAGGTCAAAGTAAAAATTATTAGCATTTTGGCTTCTTCACGTTTTGGGCTCTGGCCGCCGTCTTACAAGTCAGATCAGGCTCATTTTTGGTTCACACACTCGTGAACAGATGCTTTAGATACTCTGAGGGTACCAAACTTGTACTTTGATTTTCAGGTCAAGCTCAGGTCATCACAGGTCACGAAAATATTATATCATCCGTCGGTCACGTGACACATGTTTTATGGTCAATTTAGGCCAAAAATTTCGAAATTGATGTTTGTGTCATTTGAGGTCATTTTGAGTCAAATTTAGCTTAGGTCAGGTCACTTTCAGGTCAAAAAAGGTCAAATTTTGAAGTTAAAATTTTTCAACAAAAAAGGTGTCTATTGGATGCAGTTTGAGCTCAGGAACGCGATGGTGCTATTTATATTGGCGTACGATGTCAAATTCGTGCTGAAAAATTGATTTGAAAAATAAAAAATTGTTATTTTTTTGCAATAATGCGTATAACTTGGCCATTTTTGAAGATATTTATCTAAAACTTGCTAGACTTAGTCATAATAATGCGTTCTATCACATATATTCCGTTTTTTCGAAAAGTAAAAAAAAATTGAAAAAAATGTAAAAATATAAATTTTGAACTTTATTATATAAAATTTTCGAAATTTTCAAAATTTCGAGAATCCATGATAGCAGTTTGATAGCGCAGTCCATTGTGAGTTCTCTCATGCAAAGAACTTGGATCTAGCTTAAAAACTGAGCTCTTGGGAGCGATTGCCGTGGCTCAATGTTTTGCGTCGAAATCGGCCGAACATGACGTCACTCTGACGTCATTTCCGGCCGACCTATGGTAGGTACGAAGTTCAAATTATGACACAAGGTGTCAAATTGATGCAGCCGAAGGTACTGAAAGTTTGGCGTCGGTACGTTAACCCGCGCGGGGCTGGGGGGGGGGTAAATTTTACCCCCCCCCCCCTCGCGAATTTTTGCGATATCTCAAAAACGGCGGCGCGCAGCGCCGCCAAACTTTCAGTACCTTTTCTTACATCAATTTGACACCTTCCCTGAAAATTTGAGCGAAATCCGTCGGAAAATTTTTGAGAAATTGACGTTTTAGTGACGTCATGTTCGCCATTTTCGCCTCAAAAACGGCAAAAGTTCAAACGCCGCTAACATCTTCATTTTTAAAGAAATCAAGACTTATCAAAAAAGGTTATACGTAATTTTACTTTGTCTATCAAATGGCTATCTCGGTTTTTTGAAAATTTTGGATTTTGGCCTAAATTTTTTCAAAAAACTGATTTTTTTGGGAAAATCATTTTAAAATCCAAAATTTTAAGTCTATCGAAAAAACCGGAATATATGTCAGAGAAGTGGTCTATGTGCACCTACATACCAAATTTTAGAAGAATCGGTTCAAAAATGTGGGAGTTATTCAAAATTTTATGACGTCACGACACACATTTTTTTTTTGAAAAATGACTTTTTTGGAAGTTCTAGACCTCGTACGGAAACAAAAATAGCACCATTCGATTCGCCGTGAAAAACTGCATCAGATAGACACCTTTTTAGGCCTTAACAACTAACTTCAAAATTTGACCTCACTTGACCTGACCTTGACCTGACCTCGACCTGAAATTCATCCAGAGGTGGTCCATATCACTTATTGAGTGTGCCTATTGAATTTTATGAGAAAAATGACCCATAAAACATGTGTCGCACATGCCCTTTTCTATATTTTGTTTTTTGGTGACCTGACCTGACCTGACCTGACCTGACCTTGACCTTGACCTCTGAATGATATTGTATGCAACTAATATTGTCTTGGTAGCCTAAGAACACGTTTTGGGCGATCAGTCTCAGTCCATGACTCCATTCTTCGGCAACTACGGTGCAAGGCCGATACTGTAGAAACTTGCAATTTGTACCCTTGACCTGACCTTGACCTTGACCTCAAACTTTAAATTAAGTACATGTTTTTAGTAGTTCGTGATGAGAGCCTTCGATTGGCGTTTGAATTTTCCAAATCGGACCATTAGTTCGGGAGATAACAGGGGGGGGGTAAAATTTACCCCCCACCAGCCCCGCGCGTTCGGCTGGAGACCCCAGCCCTGCGCGGGTTAAGCGGTTTGGAAGTTATTGTAGAAAAACGGGAGGGGGGCTATAAATAGCCCCCCCCCCCAGTGGGGCGCGGGATATCTCAGAATTTTGATATCGATGACCTAAGGTCAGGTCAATTTTGCGACCTCTCCATTATAAGTCAATGGGAGAAAATTGAAATGCGCCTCTTTTGGACGAAAGGCATTATAAACACTCCCAAACACTGAATTACAAGCGGTTTAGACACACTGAACATGAAAATGGTGTCCGTGACCCCTGTTTATGCCCTGAGGGCATCTTAGGTCACGAATGGTATCTGACAGTTTTTCGCAAATAATTTTTGATAGAGGCATGCTAGAGCGATGAAAACGCCTTAGATGTGTTCAGCTCGACGATACGGATCGACTGATATGCAACATGGCCCTTTCCGGTCAGGTCATGACCTTGACCTGAGGTCAAATTTTCAAGTTGACCTTTCAAGGTCAAGTTATACTTCATTCGATGCGTCTTGACGAGAGGAACACGATGCCGGTGAAAGTATGCTCGTACAAGGCTTGGGTCAAAAGTTATTGCAGAAAAACTGTTTCCGAAAAAATCGGCTATTTTTGCAGTTTTTGCCCCCTGCGGGCAAAACCGTTGACGTTGGGTCAAATCTGAGAAAATTATTCAGAAAGGGCGTTAATAGGGCTATCGAATACGCTTTTCCGCGCCGCTGTAGCTCTATTGGTTCCCGAGTTATGCGTTGGCTTCTTGCAAATTGTCGACATTCGACCTGGAAATCGGCGAAATTTTGCCTTTAATGACCTCTGGTGACCTGACCTTTGACCTGACCAAAAAATTGACCGAAGTGATTTCCTCATTATTTTTGACGCTCTTTCGAACGCCGCCTTCCGCGTATCGCTACGTGGCCCAGGAGCCGAGGTAGAAGGGTGTGTTCCCCATCCCAGCTACCATCCCAGCTACCAAACACCCCATCCCAGCAGGGCGTGGAAATCCAGGACCCCCAGCCGGGCGCGGGTTCACGCGCACCGATGGGGGTCTGCGCCAACTTAGTACCGACGGGGGGGGGGCGAATGACCGCCCCCCCCCCTGAGATCTCGAGAACGAAGCAAGATAGCGACAAGCGGTAAACGGCATCGGATACGCACGGACAAGGTCTACAATTTTTGCAAAAGTCATTTTAAGGTTAGGTCAAAGATGACGTCACAGGGGTCAAAAAAGTCGAATGGCGGCGCTAGATATGTCGAGTTTTTTCTAGAATAACTTTCGAATTAGTCTAGATAGGAACAAACTAAGGGCATTATCGTGATCCTCTCGTCAATCTGCATCGAATGATATATATGTTGATCTCGAAAGGTCAAGGTCAAAGGTTGACCTCAGGTCACGTGACCTCGAGGTCATCATGTATATCATTCGACGCGTCTTGACGAGCTGAACATAATGAGACCATTCGCGCGGCTGTATCTGGTTCCCGTATAGGAGTTATTGGCAAAAAACCTTTGGTGATCTTTGATGACGTCACATGACCTTACAGCTGCCAAACAGCAAAACAGACCTCAATGTAGTGAAGGTTGATCGTATATGAAGTGATGTATGGTTTATGGGGCCATTCCGACCCGTTTTAGTGGTAAAAACAGGGAGTTGATTTTTCCCCTATTGACTTATAATGGGAGGTTGAGAAATTGACCTAACCTTAGGTCACCGATATCAAAATTCCGAGATATACAAATTGTAGCTGCTGATGACCTAATAATATCCTGCGACTTTCAAAGGCCTCCGACATCTGTTGTAGCTCTGGCACGGTGACAAATTTGCAAAAAAGTGACTTGAGGTTGGGTCATTGGAAGTGACGTGGTGAACTGACCTTAAAAGTTAGGAGGTTCAAACTTGCACACCATGTGTAAAATTGATGAGAGAAAAGTGGTACCAAATTTCCGCCGAAGTTTTCCCGCTATTCGCGAAAACCCCCGTCGGTGCGCGGGTTAATAAAGACTCGAATATTCACAATTTAACCCGCGCCCTGCTGGGGGGGGGGGGGGGGTGTTGAACACGTGGTTTGTGGTTTTTCGCGAATATCTCAAAAACGCTCCGCGCCGCCGTTTTTGGTACACCTTATCATACATCAATTCTACACATGTTGTGAAAATTTCAGACCAAGGTCATTCAAGGTCAGGTCACCAGGTCACTTGAAGTGACCTCACCTCATAAAAAGTTTCAATGTCTGTCATAGCTACACCGAGTGACCGATCGCTTTAAAACTCTCAGCGGTTGCTAAGAGCAATAGCATGTACAAAATGTATATCTCAGAATTTTGATATCGATGACCTAAGGTCAGGTCAATTTTGCGACCTCCCCATTATAAGTCATTGGGAGAAAATTGAAATGCGCTTCTTTTAGACGAAAGACATTATAAGCACTCCCAAACACTGAATTACAAGTGGTTTAGACAAACTGAACATGAAAATTGTGTCCGTGACCCCTGTTTATGCCCTGAGGTCATCTTAGGTCACGAATGGTATCTAACAGTTTTTCGCAAATAACTTTTGATAGAGGCATGCTAGAGCGATGAAAACGCCTTAGATGTGTTCAGCTCGACGATACGGATCGACTGATATGCAACATGACCCTTTCCGGTCAGGTCATGACCTTGACCTGAGGTCAAATTTTCAAGTTGACATTTCAAGGTCAAGTTATAGTTCATTCGATGCGTCTTGACGAGAGGAACACGATGCCGGTAAAAGTAAGCTCGTACAAGGCTTGGGTCAAAAGTTATTGCAGAAAAACTGTTTCCGAAAAATCGGCTATTTTTGTAGTTTTTCCCCTGCAGGCAAAACCGTTGACGTTAGGTCAAATCTGAGAAGATTTCTCAGAAAGGGCGTTAATAGGGCTATCGAATGCGCTTTTCCGCGGCGCTGTAGCTCTATTGGTTCCCGAGTTATGCGTTGGCTTCTTGGAAATTGTCGACATTCGACCTGGAAATCAGCGAAATTTTGCCTTCAATGACCTTTGGTGACCTGACGGTGACCTTTGACCTGACCAAAAAATTGACCGAAGTGATTTCCTCATTATTTTTTACGCTCTTTCGAACGCCGCCTTCCGCGTATCACTGCGTGGCCCAGGAGCCGAGTTAGAAGGGGGGGGGGTGTTCAAACACCCCCCCCAGCAGGGCGTGGAAATCCAGGACCCCCAGCCGGGCGCGGGTTAACATGCCTCTCCTTACGATTCACCAAAGTGTTTTTTGATTGGTCGAGGCTGACCCCTGTTGTGACGTCACAGGTCATCATCCACTCAGGTGACTATCCACATGCCAGATCTATCATACATTATATTTAGACTCATTTTGAAAACTTAGATTTCATTTTTATGACAGACTTCTCGTCATTGCAAATTGGACTGATTTGACCTTATTTGACCTCCCTGTGACGTCACAGATCAAATATCAAGGTCATCGATATCCTATCTTGTGCATCTCGATGAGCTCTCTCGATTGCCGTTTGAATTTTCCCGATCCGGCTATTGGTTCCGGAAATACGGCGGGGGCATTTTGCCCCCCCCCCCCTCCCAACAGGGCGTTGAACCTGCCAGACCTCAACGGAATGCGGGTTAAGAAAGATGAAATTCAAATTAAGAAAGATAACATACAAATTAAAAAGATATTTGCAATATAGCCGTATTGATTTTACCAGCGTGGTGATATGAAGTGTATATGGAAACATGAACCAAATGTATGTAAAACCGGATGTAGTGTGAAGGCGGCGACTTCGAATTGGGCTCTAACATCCACGTGATCGGTGCGATGACGCAGACTGACCTCGTTTATTGGCAACGCCGAAGAGGGTCTTCTAACCCGCGCACCGACGGAGGTCTGCACCAGCTTTGTACCGACTTGAGGCGGGGTTGCACCACGCTATTCATACAATTTTCAGGGTAGGTGTAACATTCATGAACGCGAGGGTACTGAAAGTTTCGTCGCGATCAGCCGCTTTTTACGCGAGTTATTCGCGAAAAACCGTGGGTGGATTCGGTTCGACCCCCCATCCCTATACGGGCGAAGGTTAAAGTGAATGAAAAAAGTTGTAGTTTTGAGTTGAGATAAAAGGTATCTATTTGATAAAAGGACCTTTGAATCAAAGGTCAGTTATTTTGGGTTTTAGCGGCATCCGCGACCCCTCCCTTGGCCGATGAGGATTTAGTGACGCCACTTCTCGGCGGAAACTGGAGGAAGAAAAGTTATAAAATCGATCGTAAAGGTTTTCAACAAATTCAAACACAACTGTGACAAGTATAATGATGAAAGAAAACCGAAGCCTCATAATAATGATTCTAAATTATGACCGAGAAGAAAGAGATCTCTTTCTTCTCGGTCATAATTTAGAATACATTCATTATTATGAGGCTTCGGTTTTCTTTCATCATTATACTTATCATCATGAGCCTCAAACAAGCGCTTTCTCATATTACACAACTGTGACTGACTGTGAATTTGATGCTGTGGAGAATCTTTAGCGAATTTCAGGGCGATTGCGCTGTTATCGCCAAAAGTCGGCAGGGGGCGTAACACGCCCCCCCCCCCCACCGCCCTTTCTTTTCCTTTTTTTCCCGATTTCCCGATTTCTTTTTTCGTCTAGGAGAGACGAAAAAAGAAATCGGTCTTTAGGCAAAAAGTTCCGGCAGGCGGCTATTTTCTGTTGGTAAAACTGGCCTCTGAGCTCTATAATACCATCTGGCTGATTCAGAGGCGGATCCAGCTCAGAGTTTTTTTTTTGGGGGGGGGGGGGCAAACCATAACAATTTATCGATTCTTTCCATGCCTCGTCCATAGGCGTAATGTTAAAATTATGCCGTTTGGGGGGGGCAAATGCCCATTTTGCCCCCCCCCCCCCACCTGGATCCGCCACTGGGCTGATTCTTGAATCTGACTCTGTTTATGCCTCCATTTTCAGGATGCCCGCTCGGTGGACTCTCAAGTGTCTGGTGACCTGGCTGACCTTGACCTCGGCGAGCTGGAGAAGGTCGAACGGGTCAAGGTCGACCGGAAGAAACTGGAGGACCTCCTGTACGGTAAGTCCGTTGTACTCTTTTCATATCGTGACACCCATTAGGAGTAAGATGTGTTCGAACGTCTTTCATGAAGTTTTGCTATCGTGTGTTATCGTTGAGTAAGTGACTGTATGTAATTTGGCGTTAGTTTAGTATCAAACTCCGCTTAGATACTTTCAAACTATTGAGTTACGATTGGACTTTGCTGCCCTACAAATATCTCATGTGTTAATAACAGAACCACGACTGAGCTATCATGCCTAAGCACCGATCTGTTATATGGTTAGTCATTAATCTTATTTAAATGATCATCAACCAAATTATACGTTAATGCAGTTAAAATTATACTTTCACCAAGTGCCACTACGATACCCCCTCCCTTCCACCCCGCCCCACCGCCCTTCTGCGTCGTTTTATGTCGTGCGGCAAGTGCTGGGGTCTCCATGTTGTCCTCCCTCTACCCTGGTAACCACGGGGGGCGGCTAATGAGACCCCTCCCCTCCTCCCCCTGTGGAAAATCGATGGGAGAATATAGCTGGTGACCAAGGTCAAATGGTTTGACGGAATGGTGGTGACAGGTTGGGGGAGGGTAGGGGAGGGAGGTAGGGAGGGAAAGGGAGGGGAGGGGAGGGAGGGAGGGATAGGATACGGGTAGCGGAGGGAGGGAATACGGGTAGGGGAGGGAGGGAATACGGGTAGGGGAGGGAGGGAATACGGGTAGCGGAGGGGATAGGATCAAGGAAAAGTGGTTTGGCTAGGAGAGATAGGGATAAGGGAGTGATACGATCGGGGAGAGGGATAGGGGATAGGGCACAAGGGCTTTGCCAAAGCGCATGGGAGGGATCCAGAATGCTTAGAGATGTCAATCGCATGCAGACGTTTTCAATCCTAATGTGTTTAGTATTTTAGTGGTAATTTGAGTCCTCAGTTATGTATGTTAGGCTGTGAGTTTGGTTAAAAGTTATTTACCTGGCATTCCCAAGACGATTTGGTTTCTGTATTTTCCTATGGTGTTGGTTGGTATTTGGATACGATATCGGTATCCAGATTTTCTGTATTTGGCATCACTGATCCACACCTCCCATTGGGTTCTTTTTATAATGCAGCCTAATTTATCAGGGTCTTTAATTCTGCATTTTCCCCCATAATACTGAGAAGGTGGCGCTACCCTGTGATAGGGTAATACCAATTATTGCCGGTGACAGCCGGTAGCTAGAGGGAGAATACCAAACTGACGTAAGATGCAGAGTGAGAAGTGGGCAGAGTTATGAATAGAGGATGGGGGAAATGGATAAAGTTGTTTTTAAGGGTTTTGTTGGCATGGTTTTGTTTCGGCCTTCTAACAACCTGACGTTGAGTTATGTATATGGTTCATTATAATCAATGCTCTCGTCCCTATTACTTTCAAGCGTTCATGCAACGCTCATGCCGACGTATAGCTTAAGTTTGTTTACATCAATTGCCATCAACCTAAGATTTCCTTAGGATCACGTGAAATCTCAAATGAACAGTTCCCAGTTACAATTTCAACATCCACTTTGTTCAAAAAGATTACGATGCGTCCTTAACCCTCGCGGGCCCGGGGGGGGGGCGTTTTTCGCCCCCCCCCCCTGGCGAATATTTGCGATAACTCACGAACGCTTAGGGATAGGAAGGCGAAACTTTCAGTACCTTTTCTCCCATCAATTTGACATCTTCTGAAGTAAAAAAGTTGGACCTAGCCCCCTTGATGACGTCACAAGGTCCATTTTTCTAGACCCCTGCACGGCAAAATTCGGCGTCACAGACGCAAACTTCAAATAGCTGCTAAAAATAGAGTTTTAGAGATAAAGACAAATTACGAGCACGGCTGTGTAGCGTTTGACCTAGGGAAAAATAGAAAAATAGTTTCGGTGACCTGAGGTCAGAGGTCAGGTCAACGACCCCGAAATGTGGTTTTAATTTTTCGCAAATAACTTCGACAAAAATGGTCCTAGAGCTACGGCAGTGGTACCATCGCATTCGCCTTGTCAAGCCGCGTCGAATGATATATATTTTGTTCGGAAAAGGTCAAGTTTCATGTTGACCTCATGTGACCTCGAATGACCTCTGGTTGACCTTGACACATGAAAGGTCGTTTATGATGGATTTGTACCCGCTGATCACGAATCTGGCATCTATTTTCCTCTAAGCCTTCATTTAGAGCTTCCGGATGGCAAAATTGTCTTATCTATTATTACTAACTTGAATCAGTGAAATAGCCTCTAGCAGGGATACTCTTCTGTGACCTTGACCTTTGAGCAGCCTTGTATCGTAAGATGAACCACAAATAGGGAACTGATAAGCCTCAAAACATTTCAAAACATCTTGGAAGTTAGTACGCAAGATGTGCGAAAAAATGCCAAGTTTGAGGTCAATTTTGAGCGTGACCTTGACCTTGACCTTTGATTTGGAGCACATTTTCAGAATCCTCAGATTCTCTTCTTTCGTTTGACACCCAATTTTGCCGGTTTGATGCAGCCTGCCGTCCTCTAGAATGCTTATTTTGAGATCACTACGCATGTGCCGGTTTTGGCCTTTGATCTTGACCTCTGACCTTGAAAATTGACCTGAGGTCAAAAATTTTGGGTGCATTAGAATCGTCTCGTAAGGACCTTTCGTTCGGTATCGCTTTTGTTTCCGTAGCTCCCTTATTTACGGAGTTAGACAGGGGGGGGGGGCGAAAAACGCCCCCCCCCCGGGCTGTGGTGGTTGGGATTACCCCCCGGGCCCGGCCGGGTTAACATTATATGTATGCCATGCATTGCATGCAACTTGCATGCATATGGTATGGTTTAATCATTTATGTAGTTGATGCTATGTTCGAATGATGTGTTTTTCAAACTAATGATGCATGCCATTCTTATGACGCTTACGCAATGCTTCTGCATTTTATATGAGGGCTGGACGGACTTCAACGGAATGACTTCAGGTGCTCTTTACTGTGTTCACCTGGCGACTAAGGGTTGTATTACAATTTAGTAGCGACACACGAATAAGCCCTCGCCCAACGACTCTTCGCCGGGTGCCGCCAAGTTGCCAAATGAGCTATGAAAGCGGTAACAGTCTTTTACTGTCCCAAGCTTACACTCCCGATTCTTTTTCTCTCTCTCCACTCTCTCTCTTTTTCTTCGCCCTCCCTCTCTCTCTCTCTCTCTCTCTCTCTCTCTCTCTCTCTCTCCTCTCACTCCCTCTCTACACTCTCTCTTTCTCATCCACTCTCTCTACCTCCCTCTCTCTCTCTTCTACCCCTCACTCTCTCTTTCTCTTCCACTCTCTCTACCTCCCTCTCACTCACTCCCTCCCCTTACTCTCTTTCTCTTCCGCTCTCTCTACCTCCCTCTCTCTCACTCCCTCCCCTCACTCTCTTCCTCTTCCGCTCTCTCTACCTCCCTCTCTCTCACTGTCACTCCCTCTCCTCACTCTCTCTTTCACATACGTTCTGCTTCCCTCTCTCTCTCTCTCTCTCTCTCTCTCTCTCTCTCTCTCTCTCTCTCTTTCTCTTCCTCTCTCTCTACCTCCATCTCTCTCACTCCCTCCCCTCACTCTCTCTACCTCCTCTCTCACTTCCTCTCTTCCGCTCTCTCTACCTCCCTCTCTCTCACTCCCCTCACTCTCTCTTTCCCGCTCCGTCAGTCAGCCGACGTCAGTCAGTCCGCTCAAGGTCGTTGACCCCGGGGATCGATGCCCTCGGGCGGCTACTTTCTCACGAGTCGAACGCGAGGAAGGGGGCGATCAGCGGGGGGGGGAGCGGAGAGGGATTCCCGTCGATCTCGAATGAACGAAGGTGTCTGGTATCGGAGCTGTCTCCTGCAGCCTGGCGTTGGTGGAGGGGGGAGGTTAGTCGGGGGGGGGGGGGGGGGCAGTGAAGAGTCGGTTGGTTGGTTCAATGCTCTCAGCTTGGCTCTCAGCAAGGCCCTATATACCGCTCTCAGTCTGTTGGGTGAAATGAGCGTGGAAAGTGCACGGAGGATACCGCCATGGATAAGGGATTCGATCAGGCCAGGTAAGGACTGAGAAGAGTTTCAGCATACCTATCACAATCAGTCGACAGTTGATAGTCTGGCGCCTGCAGGGACTGATGCTATTTGTGAAGAATGGCGTGAGCCTGCTAGTGAGTCTGTGACGTGGTTTGCAAGTGTCAGCGAGTCTGGGACACAAGTGGCTGGCTGCCTGCCATTCCGGGTTTTCATTGCTAGTTGAGCCTTGCTTTGTTGCTTTTGGCCGTACTAAGGTAAGATTTTCCCTGTTTGTAAGTTTCATATTTGGTTACGGAGCGAGCGAAGCGAGCGTAGTCTTTCCTTAGATTAACGGAAATTTCTGAGTATGAGCGGCCGGCCGGCCGGCCGGCCGTGGTCACGCTTTTGCGAGGCTTATATCTCAGCAACCACTTGACCGATTTACACGCGGTAATTTTTGTAGGGTAGCTTCATTCCTTCTACCAAGTATTGGACTATTCCTGATGCATGTGGGTGACCCCTTATGCACGTGCCACGTGCAAAACGAAGAGGTGTCCGTTTTGTAATTGTTGCAATATCTCGGTAACTACTTGGCCGATTGCGCTGAAAGTTGGCATGTAGGTAGGCACCCACTAGGCACTGCATATCCATGTGCCAGAGTTGGGGTGCTACTGCACATGCGCACGTGCAGGGGTCGTTTCCAGATCTCGAGAACGGCTCGACCGATTGCGCTCCAATTTGGCACACAGTTAGGGACCGGTTAGTAGGGTGCCGTGCACAAGTCAGTTGGGACCCATTTTGCACGTGCGCACGTGCAGGGTGCCGCTTCCAGATCTCGAGAACGACTGGGCCGATTGTGCCCAAATTTGGCACGTCGCTAGAGACCGGTTAGTAAGGTGCCGTGCACAAGTCAGTTGGAGGTACCCCTCGCAATTTCGCACGTGCAAGGCCCACCCTCTCGCTCGCTCCGTTAGTCGCCCCAAAAGGCGTTATACTGGTATTCTTATAGCAGGCGTCTCATATGCTGCCACCCGTTTGGAAAAA